ATGAAGTGTGAACCGAACGATAGGCGAATTTATCTACTCCTATTGATTTTTGAAGAGGTTGTCCAGCATCCACTACCACATAGGAAGACTGATATTACCGTATTTGACGGCATATAAGGCGCACTCTTTCTTTACTAAAAATATCTTTTAAAATTCTCCTGCGTCTTATATGCTATATGCAAATTTAAAATTCGCTATAGTCGGCCGAAATTAGCTACCTGGCAACTCCTATTAGCTTAGACTTTAGAGTAACTTTTATATACCTATTGTCATTATTTATAATCCGCTTTCAAAATGACTGCATTTCTGGATACGCGTAGAAAACAAATAACCCTCATGGAATTTCATTTTTATTAGGAAAATGTGCTGCAAGCATTCACAAAATGTTCTTAAATGTTTATGGAAACACGGTAAGTATATGGGTTAGTTGAGTTAATAGCAATCCTAGAGAGAAAAGAGAAACTCATTTTCGGGATACGCCTCGCAGTGGCAGGTCAACTGCTGTTGGGAATTAAGATCAAGCTGAACAATCCGATGCGCTCATATAACATGGCGGGATAATAACTGCTGCAAAACTATGTGTATAGAGTGAGTTTCCAGAATGAAGGTTGTGGTTGCTGCCCATGAAGGGAGGACTTAAAGGACAGTGGTTCTCCATTGGTGATGAGTAATATACACATATCTAAGAAAGCATCCAAAAACCTTTCAAAGATGAAATACCGTGACTCAGAAGGAAGTAGACTATAGTGCAAAGTAGATTTGATATCATGAGACTTTTCTGTTCATTTTGGTCTGCTTTGTGTGCTTCTGCTATTAAACCTGTTGGAATTAAAGAGTAGTCATTGCTTCATGGTCGCCCTCGTATATAAAATTTAAGTTCTTTTCGGTATTATACAAAATTCGGCTATTTTTAAAGCCTATATTCGTATTCTCGTGATTGGGAAGATTGAATGCTAAAAGAATGTATTTACTGCGAGATTTAACTTTCAATATCTGTGAGTGTATATGATACAACGATGAGGTGCTACTCAAATTTACGGTGAAATTTATTACAAAGCGTGCGCAAAACGAATGTAGTGCAGCCATTCGCCGCTACTCGTTGGGAGCAGTAACCAGTGTGAGATCTTTCTATCAAGTGTCCTATACGAAAGATACTCCATGTTATTAACATTGTCATCAGTAATAGTCATTATGGGTTTGAGTTCGCGAATCAATATTTATCAGGGTTTTCCCATATATGTTGCAGATTCACAGTTTATTAGGTCTGTATAGAAAGGGTGCTTTTTCCTAAAAATGACTGACTGCAGGCGGTTTCGTAGCCAGCGGGTGCCCCAGACCTGTAACTCCTAATTTTTCTGATAATCTAGAAAGCTTTTTTTCTTTTACATAACAAAACGTAGAATAGATATAAACCACTATTCGTGTGACATGCGCGGTAGTGTTTTTTTCTTAATGTTCATCAATGTGTTCATGTAATCGCAAACTGTTAATTTGAAAAGTAAAAATAACGCCAACTATGAGACATGTTCACGTTTATAAAGTTAAATAAAATGTTAAGTTAAATAAAGTTACATATTTTATAAATTTATTTTTAAAATACTTCAATTAATCGTAAACTTCAAGCCAAATGTTTTTAAAAAATTCCTGCGCCGAGTAATATTTGCACGCTTCGATATATCAGATTCTTTTGATAGTTTGGTACTATCTCTGGTTTTTGAATTTTTTTTTATTTTATTTCTTCCCAGTTATATGGTGAAGCCTGTACCAAGTGATAGTTTGACTAACAACCAGTGTCAAAGATCAATGAAGAATTTTAAAAAACAGCACTAAATAGAAATCGCAATTAACCAACATGTTGAGAATCAGACTAAAACTCTCGATACAATGATCTGAATCTCTGTTAATCTGAATGCAACTCTGCGTAGAATATCTGATTAAATGTGAATAAGTCATATCACTTGTCAATGACACTTGCTGTTTGACTTTTGAACATAACAAAGTTTATAAGGAATAGAGAAAGAGAGGCACATATGTAGATAGAGGGTGGTAGAAAACAAAAGAGGAAGAAAAGAAAGGGTTTAGTCAGAGAATTATGGTTTTAGAGCCAACACTCTTGATCTTTTATTTCTGTATTTTTCTTTGTCATTGTGTGCGTGTATCTGTGTGTATTAAACATTTAAATATCACCGATGAAAACCTCTTAAAACAACAAAAAAGCCAAATATCTAAAGGAACCCTTCCTAATTTGTCAGTGATCAATTGTTGGCGAAAACAATTACTTTTTTTGTAATTATCCTTACAAGGACAATGAAAAAGACTTCTGGTAGACAGGTAAAGCAAACTAGCGAACGGGTACATTGCAAAAGTTGTCTTTCTACAAATTTGGAAACAATTTAATTTGTAAAAATAAAATCGGATAAAACTGATCACAAACCTGAAGACTCGACAGAAAAAGAGACGGAAAAAATGATTACCGTACTCCCAAAAGAAGGGAATGAGTTTTGCCTACACAGGGACGGTCTTCTAAATTTGATTGTAACTGCTTTATCAATTCTGAAGTATGTTTTCTTGCCGAATGAAATAAACGAAACTTTTATTCATATATATATATATATATATATATATAAAATGGACTAAGTCCGACAATTATTTTAATATATTTTTTGTTTATACGATATTTTTATAGATAGAAATATTTAAGTAAATACTCTGTTTATAATAAACAGTACTAACAACATTTACCGGCTTCAATGTCCGAAAAATCTCAAAGAAAATATGCGTCCTCATACAGGAATCGAACCTGTATCCTACACGGAACCGTCATATAGCCTGTAGCTGAATGGTATAGCACGTCAGGATATATGACAATTCCGTGTAGGATACAGGTTTGATTCCTGTCGGGGGACATATTTCCTTTGAGAGTTCTCTGATAATCCGGCCTGCAAATGTTGTTAATACTCTTTATAATAAACTTAAACTTAAATATTTGTATCTATAAAATATCGTGTATACATATATATATATAGTTATCCACAGACACTGTCTCGCTGTATCACAGCTCCTCAGTGTGGCTAGACGTCCGGTTGCCTCCAGCTAGGATCGAAACTCGGAGATTCTACCCCTAAGCAGGGATGAAGATGAATTTAAGCGTATTTATTTTAGGATAAACACACAGTGACTGATAGAACTCGATTCGCTTCACCGAAGAGTTTTGCCTTATTAGCCGTAATAGTCACTGTTTACAAACTTAAACTTCCTCTGCAGAGAGCTCAACAGAAATACATTTTTCAGGATTGATTCAAACGTTATTATCTTGGACGCTTCTTATTTGAAGTAGACACTCTATGTTGTATTTATTAAACGGTGTGCATTACGTCTATCGGCCTGCACATTCGAGAAATAAAACAAAAAGTTTCCAACGGCAGGGATAGGACCTGCGTCCCACTTTGTAGGGGAAACTATCATTTGTTCCGCCTGCCTTTACCGCTCGGTCAGGTGGGTTCATATCTTTCCCAAGTGTATTTACTCGTAAGTGAATATAGCCAACCCAACTAGAATTGAAACTTGGCTCTCAGATGAACAATTCAAAGCCATTATCCATTAAACCACCCGCACATCCAAGCTTACAACACCTGGTATTTCCAAGCCATCAGCCATCTTGGCACTATGAGTGGTTATGCACGTCATAGCAGCAAAAATTAGCCTCGAGTTCACGGGGATAAAAACATTCGTTGCAGAAATAAAACAGAGATAACAATAAATGCATGGTAAATTGTACGTTAATTTCACACAATTTATTTATATTTTTTTGTGTGTATTGAGGTGCGTTTTTTTTTTAGGGTACCATTATTTCATGGTACATGTGATAAAAGGGAGAAGTCACTCCGTATTATTACAGGCCATGTCACAGATATTAAACAATACTAATACTATTTTTAGGGCAGTGTATTTGGCTCAGACCTTGTGAGGCTGACCTTGGGGTCAGCTGGTAGACAAAACAGATGTTGATTTTGATTGGCTGAGCCAAACGTGGGAATATTAGTGTTAGTGTTTTCAGAGAGTTAAGTTTTATACGTCGAAGAGATCAGACGTGGTTTTCGTGTCTCGGGGAACTTGCTCCCCAGTGGGGGTGATAGGGCGACCCCACTGACTAGTTAAAAAGGAACACGTCGGCGTACTTAATAAAGTAGTAAGTCAAAATCCCTTTTGGTGAAGTTTTCCTTTTACCTCCGAACAAACTAACTAGCAGTCACCCGACCGGGAGAAGACGGCCGAGAGAAAAGAATGCAGCTTTGTTATGGAATGGACCCCGTCAACCGAAAGACCTCCCCAGAAGAGAGGGGGTATACAACACAGAGATTGGACACGTGTTACCCGTACGAAGATTCATAGTGAAGAGATTGAATTTAACGTCCTTGATGTGTGTGTTTCCAACAGGAACAGTTTTTGTTGCATGCTGGGAGTGTTTTATTATTTTTATTTTTTATTTAATTTATTTTAAACAAAGTTTAAATATTATGGTTTATTTTATTTATAATTTTCATTATTAAAATTTTTTTTAGATTTTATGTTTATTTATTAATAATAATAATAATGTCCCTACAGTACTGACCAGGCTCGACGTTGCTTAACTTCGGTGATCATACGGGAAATGATGTTTCAAAGTGATATAGCCGTAAGCCACGAGTCTGCGCGGTAAATTTCTCAGTTCAACCAAGAACGGATTAAAAATATCTTCTGATATTTGTTCATATTTTTAGAAGTGAGTCGGGACGAGGCTTTTTCAATGTCCCTCCTATTCATGTCTGCTTTGTTCATGCGCGCGTTTAAGAATAAAATGATACATGCATAATTGAAAAGTATTTTGTTTTTACACACACATATATATATATATATATATATATATATATCTTCGTGTGAGCATCGGTAGTTATCGATCTCCGTATAGTATATGTTGTTTTTACTCGCTTTATGGTATTGACACATTCTTGGCATTATCCATGACAACGGCTGCTAATTCTCTCTTGTCTGCCAACGAAAGGAATGGATATTGTTGTCTCTCTTCTCCGTCGTGTATAGACCAAGCGTATGTTCGATTTGTCATTTGAGAATTCGGCATCAAAAAAATATATATATATATATATATATATATATATATATATATATATATATATATATATATATATATATATATATTTTTGAAGAATGCCTTTCAGCAATTCAAATAAAAACAATTACTTTCGTTTAGGGCCGCTTAGTCCAACGGAAATTAATAACAAGTTTTCCGTTCAAAGCTCTTCTCACGATCAATTGTTGCAGCTAACGGTATTTTTTTTTTTCTGTACCCTCTTGACAATTCTAATCGCAGATCGAAACGTATCAATTGATTATTGAACATCTGTTTTTGACAACCTAGCTCAAAAGCAATGTCGGCGAAAAAAACAAATATTTTCCTGTTTGTCTGGTTCCAGCGCAAACCGGATAATAATCCTCTTCTGTCAGTTACATTCCTCGCCGTTGACAATAAGTTTCCTGACTTCCATGCATAACAAACAGACTGAGTGTCGAAATTTACTCAAAGGATTTTTACGTAAGAAAGAATTGCAAAATTAGTTTGGTTAATTCATCAAAATACATTTTATGCTCTATTGTAACTACAGTACATCATCGATTATCCGTACCTCGATTTTCCGGACTTTGATTATCAGGACGAGAAATGAACATTTGATGATAGCATTTTATAACTGATGAGACAGTTCATTCTATAATTTTCCACATTTTCCAATTTTTGTCTCGTTTTGTTCTGCTTCGTGGTCTTACGCTTTGAAATTGAAATAACCTCGAATTCGAAGGATAAAATAAAAAAGGGCTGGGGAGAAATTTTGTTTTTGTAATATATTGCAGAAGAAAATTCCAATAACAGAATTTACGGTAAAATATAGAAATTCACTATCAGCGGCATTTTGAAAAACGAGGATTTTTATATCATAGCAACTAAACTGGACAAAACATTGAACAATGCGTTTGGAAATGTTATTTCATGATATAAATGTCATCATTTTGTCATCTTTTTCGATAATTTAGGTATTCAGTTATCCTGAATAGACCGAACCTAATTTTAAAGCCCCCCTGTCTCGAGGTGTTCTAATAATCGAGGAAGTAATGTATAGTCCTATTTCCTTCCTCCATTGGCCTGTGATTGACCATCAACATTTTGTAATGCTCATGATGAGTCTTCTTTAAAGAAGATCAAAATGGACCCAGTCTATCCTCTAGGCACATTTTTAAGTTAATACAACTGATATATATTGTATATTGCTTGAAACTTTTAACCGCGGCAGGACAGCATCTTTGAATATTTCCAGGTTTTATTCCTGTTCTTGCCTAGGAGTTCCTTTGTTGTTATCGGATTTCCTTTTCTGGTTTCTGGAGTTATTTGTGTCTTTTTCAGTTTAGGTTATTTTTGTTATAAATTACTTAAAGCAAACGAAAATATTATAATTAGGAAAAGTGACAATGGTTTTTTTTTATAATATTCACCAAATAAGACTCAAGGGCCGCTCAAGGTAGAGGGTTACTAAATAAAGTGTGAGAAGTGTAGAATATGGTGATATAGAGGAAAGGTGACGAAATGACTCTTGACTTGAAGAGGTTAAGATTGTGGTGTTTGAGGGGAGCATCTACGCGGGGGTCTGTTCCACAAAGCTGCGACTGGTATGAATTTGTAAACATAAAAAAGATTTGGAAGACAAATAATATTTCATACTAATAGTCTATGGATAGAAATATAGTGTTTTCTGTTTCTTTGTTTCTTTGTTTTTAATCATTTCACCCCAAGAAAGGTGGGAATGCCACTAGAACGCAGGGGAGAGTGAAAATGAGAGAAAAGGTTGAGAATGGGGAAGATTCAGGAAAAGGACAAAAGATGAAGGGAATACAAGAAGACAGAAGATGATGATTGATGTTGCACTTAAATTTTTGAAGATTGTAGTTATCAGGGAAGCAAGTAAACGGAGGGGAGTTCCACAGGTAGGAAGTGCAAGAAAAGAAACTGTTGGAGTAGAAGTGGCAGTTGTATTTAGCTATTTCAACAGTAAAACGGTGGGACCTAGATGCCAATCTAGTAGTGCACTTAAATTCATGTATTCGGGGCACCAGGGAAAAAGCTTATCAGAGCAGTTGCCATAAAAATATTTGTAGAAAAAACAGAAAAGCCACGCTACGTTTGGTGATAGTGACTGAAGTCGAGATGCCAAGTCAGGATCAATTACATTTAAGATCCTGTTTTAGTTTTTGTCAAGCCAAAAATATAAAAATTCGTCTTCATAGAAGGATACAAACCAATTGAAACTGAAATATATCATTTTTTATCCTTATTTTCTTTTCTTTTTTTACACCAGGCGGGAATATTTTTTAAAAATATTAGTGAAAAATATAATTTCAATTTCCTGAGGTTGCTATATACTATCACTAGTAAGATCCCGGCTAACACGGAATGGTCTTGCAATGATTCAGACATGTTGCATCTTGGCTGCATATGACGTTGGGGCGAAATTATCAACTATTGTCCCAACCCCAAACTGTCCACTCTTTCTCAACGTTCTCACAAAGATATGGTGACGTTGCAAAATGCTGTAGCTGGAAAAATTTTCACTAGTAAAATAAGATCAGAATAATTGTTTTTACTCCTAACAATATGTATAGAAAATATATTTCTTTACGTATTTTTTTTAAATTTAGAATCACAAATCTATATAATGAATGCACGTTCTAATATCTTCCTGAAATTTATTATCCATTTTCTGTTAATGTACTGTGACAAAGAAACGTATTTTTAATTTTACGGGAAACTTTGTGGGAGGTCGACAAAAAAAACCCGTTTACAACCTCTACGTAACAGGTAAATAGCATTGACAGACTGGGTTCTATAGACTACGGTGGTAACCTGTGTAGGAGAAGGAAAAACTGAATTCAAAACCGAGCTGGAGAGGGTCAGCCTATCTTGCCCAAGAAACACCACTTCTACGGCGGCTGCACTACACATGATGTCACTACGACCCTACAGGTCATGAAATAAAAAAAGAAAATGTAACGTTGTATCAGCGTCATAACGGCAAAATACTTCATCAGCCTTTCAACGACAATTATTTCACTGCTTCTAATCACTACCTCTATCTTGAATCCCTATCCCATTCATTACAAAAATAAGAATTTTTGGGTCGGTTGTATTTTAATTATTTACATTATTCGGACTATTGTCCTCATCTTTGTCGCCATATTTATTACAACGTTTCAGCCGTTGTACGCTCCGGCCATCTTCAGGTGGTTGGAATCTCGAACTGAATCCTTTATTTCACTCACTGGGGTAGACTGTTCTAGTTCCATGTGCCATGTCTAATGGATGTCAGTTATCAGTTATCTCCTGTTTATTCCCCTCTGAAAGTTCTCCACTGCCTTAACCGGGTATTGAACTCACACTCTTTGGATCGTCACTAGATATAACTAACGCCTTTATCCACTGTGCCATGTGTAATAAATATGGCGACAAAGATTAGGACAATAGTCCGAATAATGTAAATAATGTACATTATACCTCATCCCAGAAATATAGACAGATACTGGTTGTATTTTGTTTAGCGGAATACCAACTTCTATGGGTTACTTAATCTAAATATGTTGTGCGTAATTTTATTTATTTTTAGAGATAATAATGGGTTTTGTGGATATGTTTAAGTAATTAATCCATAGCTGGGGGAGAAGAGGTGGGTTCATTCAGGCGTAAGGGAATACAACGAACCAAAAATAGAATTGGAACTCGGCTCTCCGATTAACAATTCGGAGCCATTATTTATTACACCTCTCGAATATCCAAGCTTGCAGCTCATGGTATTCCCAAGTGGTCACCCGTCTAGATATTGACCAGGCTCGATATTGCTTAAGTACGTACGGGAACCGGTGTTTCAATATGTGTCCGTAAATCAAAATAAGAAGAACCAGCATTTACACAAATATTCTAAAGTGCTTATGAATATGTTCACAACGTTGTCAAGGGGAGGAAAATAAAAATGACATGGTGGTTCAATAAGTCTGTAGCCCGACATTGCTATTTGCTAAATTTTAATCTCAGATTTTACTGCTGTATTGTTTTTGTCACGTGTGATTAATATTTACTAATGAAAAGTGCATTAATAAAGAAGTAGATTATATTTAAAAAAATATATAGTTGTTTAAAAATAAATGTTTTATTTTATCTTTAAATTGCAGACTTATTGATATACATATATACCTAGCGGATCACTCGATATTTGAATGCTGTATTGGTGAAATATTTCATCAGCCCAAGATTTCTAGCGTGATATTTCGTTAGCCTGTTGCTATGCCGCCGTTACAATTTCACGCTCTGTTTGATATGTGACTCGAAAGGATCTTTGGTGACCGCTGTCATTGTTTCATAGTGAGCCAAGTCGATTGCGTGGCAATGTTAGTTCACACGGTCTTACACAAAAGTTGGGCTGTTTCTGCTTCTTGCTGAAACTCAAATTAGCCGTCTTTTCACCAGAAGAATTGTTTGTTTTTTTTTGTTTGTTTTTTTTTTTTTTTTTGTTTATGTTTTTTTGTTTTTTTGTTTTGTTTTTTTTTGTAGTGTTAATTACCATAGGGAAATTTTAACGACTACTTGTCAGTGAAGGAGAAATAGAAAGAGGAAGTGAATTCAAGAGGAACTTTCATCTTCTTTTCCCGCTACTCTCTAATATTTTTGGACCACGTGTGTTCTCTAAGAGGCAAAATGGTTCTTACTGACTAATTCTAGAGGGAAAAAACTCATTTTATACATGAAAATCTCGCCGCTTTCTTGCTAATTTCTGATTCGTTAACTCACGTGTGGATGCAAAGAGACTGAAGCCTCTTTTGTTTTGTTTTTTGGTGAGATTGTTATGGCCGATGTCAGTTTCCAACTCGGGACTTGTGACCATCAACTTGTCCTATCAATCATATCGTATTTTAGAAATACGATTTATTTCTAACATGTTTGGCTTTTTATTAGTTAAATTTATCTTTCCTTAAACGTTAAACTTATTCCTTTTTACTCTGTACACTAAAGGTTACATAACCATCGTTTAAAAAATAGCACGTACGTAAACCAAAAGATTCCAATAAAAATTACCTGAAAAGAACGGTAGATTATTCTCCAAATATCGAGGGAAATATTGAAGGAAAATGAAGCAATTATACAATATTCGAATTTTATATTGTATCTAGCTCATCGGTATCCAGCCATTTTTGTTTCTGTCTCAGCAAGAATGCTATTATTTGCTTCCTGTATATCAAATAAAAATCATCTGTTGGGTTGTGGGGTCTGATTTGATTTGCTCACTGTAAAATTTCGGGAGTATGTCGTTCAAAATATTAGAACCGAGCAATCGGCACTCGCGCAACGCCCACAGCAATCCATAAACGGTTGTTGGCTTTCAGAAATGAAAATAAAAGCAGAAACCAACTCAATGGTTAGATTAATTAAGTCGGGCACGTTACCTTCAAGGGATAATTTGCACCTGTTTGAAATAATTCTAGTTAAATCCGGGTATTCTCGCTTGCAGTGACTGAAGCGATTTCGTTCGAACTGAATCTGGCAATTTTTGTTTCGAAGTATTTCGATCGATTCTTAAAAGTGCTTCTCGAGACGCTGGTCTCCAAACATTTTTTTATATCCTATTTCCACATTTCTTTCTTCTCTTCACTTTTTTTTTTCTTCTCTTTTTTTTTTCTTCTCATTTATTCTTCTCTTTTTTCTTCTCTTTTTTTCTTCTCTTTTTTTTTTTCTTTTTTTTTCTCTTTTTTTTCTTCTCTTTTTTTCTTCTCTTTTTTCTTCTCTTTTTTTTCTCTTTTCTTTTTTTCTCTTCTCTTTTTTTCTCTTCTCTTTTTTTCTTCTCTTTTTTTCTCTTCTCTTTCATTTTTTCTTTTTCTTTTCTTCTCGTCTCTTCTCTTTTTTTCTTCTCTTTTTTCTCTTCTCTTTTTTCTTCTCTTTTTTTCTCTTCTCTTTTTTTCTTCTCTTTTTTTCTCTTCTCTTTTTTTTCTTCTCTTTTTTCTTTTCTTTTTTCTTCTCTTTTTTTTCTTCTCTTTTTTTCTTCTCTTTTTTTCTTCTCTTTTTTTCTTCTCTTTTTTTCTCTTCTCTTTTTTCTTCTCTTTTTTTTCTCTTCTCTTTTTTTCTTCTCTTTTTTCTCTTCTCTTTCATTTTTTCTTTTTCTTTTCTTCTCGTTTCTTCTCTTTTTTTCTCTTCTCTTTTTTTCTCTTCTCTTTTTTCTCTTTTTTTTTCTCTTCTCTTTTTTCTCTTTCTTTTTTTCTTCTCTTTTTTCTCTTTTTTTTTCTTCTCTTTTTTTCTCTTCTCTTTCATTTTTTCTTTTTCTTTTCTTCTCGTCTCTTCTCTTTTTTCTTCTCGTCTCTTCTCTCTTTCTTTCTTTCTTTCTTTCTTCTACATTCTCTTCCCTCCTTTCTTACCTCTCAATTTTAACTGTTTATTTATATATTTTCACTTTCCTCTCTCCCCAATTATTTCTATTCTTTCCTCCTCCTCTCTTTTCCATTCTGTTTCCTCCTTTCTTCCGGCTGATGTTCTACACCATTTAGCTACATGCTATTTGACGGTTCCATGTCGGAGGACATATTTTCTATGAAATTTCTCAGACATTCAGGCCGGTAAATGTTGTTAATACTGTTTATAATAAACAGAGAATTTACTTAAATATTTGTATTTATAAAAATAACGTATAAACAATAAATATATTAAAATAATTATCGGATTTAGTTCATTTCATTATATATATATATATATATATATATATATATATATATATATATATATATATATATATATGTCTCTGTCTTTCAGTGTTTATCGACCATTATGGGCGTAGAAACTAAAAGAGGATATTATTAATTTTGTTAATATTTCAATGCTTATTCATCATGTTAAACATCCAATAATTAGCAAAGTCAAAATCATTTTCCGTTTGTAAGTCAACTTTCATAAGATATTTTTTCTTTATACACACATACGTTTATTATGTGATGTCATGTGTAGGATAGGTTTATTTGGCAGCGCTTGAGGACAAATACTTAATTTTTAAATAAATTTTTGAAACACCTGTCTTGATTTCAACAGAATTTGTTTGAATATCTATTAAGATGTCCAAACGTTTGAGGAATTTGACAATGAAAAGATTATTTCTTCTATTTTATATCTGCTCCATTGTAGTAGTTCTCTTTGATATATAAACAACTCGCAAAAGAGTAGCAGGGAAAAGGCTGGACTAATTCAGTTCACCCACCGTTCAAATTCCCTAAATCTTTAGGAAGCATCTCATGTGCGTGTGTGTGTGTGTGTGTGCGCGCGCGCTTGTTTATATATATATATATATATAGTAAACTAAAGAAAAGAAATCTTTAGGAAGCATCTCATGTGCGCGCTTGTGTGTGTCTGTACGCGTCTGTCTGCTTGTTTTATATATATATATATATATATATATATATATATATATATATATATATATATATATATATATATATATATATATATATATAAACTAAAGAGAAAAAAACCTACAATATCAAAAACCGTTAATACCTATAGTATAAAGGGAAATGAGGAAACTAAATCTCCCGGAACCAAATTCTGGCTATATATTCTGGCCGAGTGGTTAGAATGTTCGGTTTCTGATCATAAGACCCGGGTTCGAATCTCACCATGGTCGATTTGTCAGGAAGGAGACTTCCTGATGTTATCTGTCTGAAGGGGAGCAATCCCAGCGTGCGGCACCTTTGAAAAGTGCCTGAAAACCATACCACGGGTTGGTCCATGCTATGTGAGTGTAATTGGGTAGACGGCACCTTTGGGGGATGTCGCCAGTTGTGCTAGGACGAAGTCACAAGTCACTGAGGGTTTGAGGCCTTATTCAGATAACGCTAGATAACACCCTCCTCTCCCAGAAACTGTAACTATGGTCTGCTCTGCATAGTTGTAGTATAAACCACAGGTGGGCTCTGTGGGTGTTTATTCAACACCCACAGAGTGGGCGTCTGCAACAGGGAATGACTTGCCGCCCTGGTAGACGGGTATCCTTGAATACGAGTGGCCAACTAAGATATATATATATATATATATATATATATATATATATATATATATAGGCAAGGCAGTAAAGTCACTATGACTCAAGGGCGTGGAGAATTAGCAACAAACATTAATAATGAGCGGAAGAGGAAAGAGTAATCATCAGGAAAATTGTAGATAGCGATTGATATTTCATTTAATTTTTTGCAGATTAAAGTTGGCTGGAAAGCATGGATTTAGAATGGCGTTTCACAAGCAAGAAGTGCGAGAAAAGAATTTACGTTTACATCTAGCCAGCTCAACTGTAAAATGATGTCTAGTACTGCACTACAAAAAGTCTAGCTAACATTGCAAAGGTCAACTGAACTATTACCATAAAAATATTTATAAGAAAGACACAGAGATGCAACCTTACGGTGGTGGGAAAATGACTGTATTCGATCTGCCAGATCAGGACCAATAATATTGATGATTCTTGTTTGGATTTTATCAAGGAGCTCAAAGTAAATAGCAGGGTCGCCGGATCATATTAGCAACAATATTCTAAGCACGGAGGAATTGTAGACTTATAGATATTTAAGATAGATTCTGGTGTGAAAGATCGCACAATACAGTGAACTAACTTTCTTAGCAGCTGCTTAGCTATAGAAATCAACACTGAATTGTAACAATTAGTGTCACTTTTAACTGAGAATACAACACTGATTTTATTTATCTGTCCATTTTGTTTATATTTACATTATCGTCAATATTGAGTCCTCTTTCTCCAGAAATATACCAAATTTTAAAGTGTATATATATATATATATATATAATCATGTGTATATCAATGACGACCATTCGTAGTATAACAGCTTGGGTTAGTCGAGGCGGAATAAATGCCTATGTCACTAGTGGCCGCTGCTTGAAGATTATGTATCTAGCGCTCATCAACTGTTGTCGCGTCCGGCCAACGTAACGTCATACTTGTGTGTGTATATATATATATATATATATATATATATATATATATATATATATATATATTATGTGTGTGTGTGTTACTTGTTCAAGGCGGTATTTTCAGCAACATTTGGCGAAAATATTTGTTCTTCCATAAATAATTTAATGATAATGTCGATGATATGAAATTTGATTGGTCTAAAATGTCGTCTGATCTTTTCGTCAGATTCTGAATGGCCACTCATGAATCAGATAGCCTCCAGGGAACCTAATCCTTACCGATCTGCAAGAATCATATTTCTAGATTATCAGCAAGGCGACGGCCACACTTCCATCAGATGTCTTTTCGTGCACCGTAATTAAATAGACGGCCGTGATTTATATTGAAGGAACGGATCGCAGTGAAAAAGAAGAAAGGACTCATCTTCATCAAGCCGCTAAAATCAAAGAAGAGGTGAAAAAGAAACGGGAGTCTTACTAGCGGGTATCCATATGAAGAGGAGTAAAGAAAAGGCGAGTGGTGATTAAGAACAAGCGCGGTTAAAATTTTCCCATCTGGGAGACAACTGCCCGCCGATCCCCATCCACACGGCCTTCACTCGGCACTTGCAACTTAACCAGGTCGTATTCGTCCCAAATCCGCGGCACGGGTCAAAGATTGTGCGCTAACTGAACCTGTTGGCCGAACAATTGCGTATATGAAGAGGTGTTGACAGGAAATAGTAACAACCACCTCTCTATCATGACTTTGCTAGCTAAAGAACTCCTCATCTTTCACGGACAACCGGAAGTTGTCTGTCAAATGCAGTTAGTACTCAGGCCGTTGGATGTCGGATAAACGCGCCCACGACGCTGACGTTTTGTTGGCGAAATCATAAAACATGAAGACTCTTCAACGAGCTAATACGATATTCCATGGCTAGGTGTGACGTCACGCCCTCCTGGGAATCTGTCTTCTCTTCTTTTTCTATCCAGAACGCCAGTGTCAAAATGTCATAGAAGGATAGATACGAACGGAGACAGAAAGACTGTCCGGTAAATGTGAATTTTATTTATTTATTTTTTTATTTTATTTTTTATTTTTTTTTTTTTTTGAGGCTTGAAGGAAATCTGATATTTGTCGAGAAATTTGACCTTAAAACCTTCGACATGATCACTGATTGTTGTCAAAGAATGTAAACATTGTGCCAATGTTTCCAGAATTGTATTAGCATTAAGGTAGGTATAGAGATAGATAATGAAACCATAGACAACGAAATCTTAGATAATGAAAAGATTAAGATATATATATATATATCATCAAAAGACTTATATTACGAAAAAAGGTAGTTGACAAAAAGACATTAGGAAAAAGACTTAAATGACAAAAAAACGGATTACGAAAATATATAGATAGATAGATTACAAAATAGATAGTTCACTAGATACATTACGAAAAGAGAGAGATTGGTTGATAAAGAAAAGTGATAGAGAGTGATAGATTACAAAAAGAGATAGAGAGATGGTGAGATACAGAAATATATAGCAACCTTGGTTCGTCTGCGTTAACCATTGTGTTATCTCCATTATTCAGGTGACAACAGTTTGACAATCCTCCTTATTTCATTCCTTTTACAGACTTTTCGTTTATTCTCTCTCTCTCTCTCTCTCTCCCCCCTGCATTTGTTGTCTAGTTCTGAATTCTTCACTATTCACCTTACCGATTGGTGAATTGTCGACCTCAGCGCCCAATGTTACTTGTCAACAACGATATTTCTGCAAAAGACTACATGGTTATTCGTACCCCCCACACACATACCCAGAATCTCCAGTCACGTTCGACACGTGAGAATATCCAAAGATGTCTGTTCTTAATGTTTTGCAGAAATTCCAAAAATATTGCTCTATTTAGAGAAACTATGGATGCAATGAAAGAGTCCTTTCTTTTACAAAGATTTTAAGAGATTTCTACGATTTAGTAATTTCAACAGATGAAAATGGATCGAGAGACAACAGTTAAAAAATGTTCGTACAATTCCTTTAACAATTATTTTCTGTATTAAACAAAGTTCCTTCTCTTTCTATAAAAATAATAATATCCATGATAACACTAGTGTGCATCCCGTCTACTAGTTTGCGCACTAAAAAAAACGTAATAAAGAAATTGTGCTCTCCAACAGCGTTCGAACCCGCGTCCCCCTATGTCAGAGAAACCACTGTCTGATCCGACATACATTAGGTTCTCTGTAAATCAAAGTTTTTTTTTTCATTCTGAGGTTGTCATGGGTTCGAACCCTATCGCAGAGCACAATTTCTTTAAGTTTTCTCGAGTGCGCTTAAAATAAAAAGGGGCTTCTACTTAGACACGAGTATCCGCTAAAAATAACGTTTGAAGTTACATATGTGTGTGTACGCGCACGACCATAAATATTTTTGTCTTTCTCGCTTAATAACTGATTAACTTGATCGTTCAAATTATATGTTCCTTTATAAATAGTGCGATGGATGAATTGTCGTCTAAATGACGCAAAAATAACACTGACATCTCATTTTAACAGACATATTTACACAAAAATACCTTGAAATACTAAAGAAT